CAACATGGTGTATTGTTCATTCGCTTGCTCGTCGTGCAAGCATATGTACATAACGTGGACTATACCACTCTCACCCTCGTTAATTTGTGCCAAATAACAAACTTGTATTAGAAAAATCCCCAAAGAGAAAAAAAGAATGTAAATTAATTGTATATGTACACGAAAGTGACCAACAAAATCGCCATGAACTCTTTCAAAATTAATCTCACCAAAGAATTAATAATGAGTTAGTAGTAGTAGTGTCATATCATGTAGTCACAAGAACCATTCATTCCTCGTCTCTCAAGCAGTTCCCCGGAAGAAGAAACTTGTACCGCTCCGCGTTCTCCAGAAGGTATGCCGGAAGATGAACCGCCGAATATGAATGCGGAATCGGACCCATTTTCCCGATGATGTCTTTAAATGTGTACTCCTCTGGAATCATGTCGAACAGATCTGCTCCGCTGCATATCACTTTCTGAACCCTTTTCGGGTTCAAGTAATGCGAGAATCTCACTCTATCGTAATGACTATAAGCTTTCATTTTGAACACAAACTCGCTGATCCGTCTGAAACAGAAGCTGCAATGCCACCCCGAATCCGCCAAGATCTCATCCGACTGCCTGTAATGCGCGTACTTCGTTTTACCCGTCTGGTACCTATGAACTGAAGCTCTCCAGCTCTTATCATCGACCGGGAACTCAAACGAGTACAAATAGTTCTTCAGTCTGAGGTGAAGAATTTGCGGTATGTCATCGCACCAACGTAGAAGATTTATCGTGTGTCTACTCGGGATCTCATCGACATCAGACATAATCAATAAGTCATCATCGGTAATACCCGCGATTCTTAAAAGCTTATCCAACGCGATTCTCTGATACGCCTCTTCGTAAAAGGGATTCTTTTCTCCTTTCTTAAACCTTCCTCCAATCGACCCGTAAGTCAACCGAGGCTCGATCAACTTAAACTCATCCCTGTGACCCGCGAAAACAAGCGGTTTTGGTAATCCGGTGAAAGTCGAGTTGGACTCGAGGAGAACAAACTGAGTAACATATGGGTACAGTTCTTTCCACCGTATCGTGAGGAGTTCCACTTCAGTACTGAAGAGAACCGCATCGTAGACACGACGAGGGTATTCACGGATTCCCCAGCCGTGGAGTTTACAGAGCGATTCCATTGAAGCGTTCTCATGGTGATAATGAGGGATCTCGTGGAATGGTTTGGGAGGTGATTCCCATAAAGGTCTCAAGAAATATGAAATCTTGAGGCCATGAATGTATACACCAATGACACACATTGGGACTATCACTAAAAGAAATAAGATTGATTTCAAGTCCACACCACGCAAGATGCAACAGAGCCTGGAGATGCCAAATCCTCGATCCGATTCCTGTAACCGCAAACAAAGAAAATGTCAATAGATAAATCCACTTTTATGTCTTGAGTATGAACAATCATCGCTGATTAAGGCAAACCAGAACCAAAAACTTGTAAGACTAGTTTTGTTGAAACAGACACATTTAGATCAAATCTAATTCAAGAGACTAAGACTCTTAGAAAATGATCAGACCCGTGAGATCTATAATTTTAGATCGAGAGTAGAAACCAGAAGGGTTCCATTATCAAACCAAGGACCATTGACTTAAAAGATCTTTGGTCAAACCAGAAGAACAAGTCACAAATTTCAATTTTACAAAAGGAAATTAAAAGGAATCAAAGGAAGAGGAGAAGATTAAGAACCTGTGTGCCGCATAAATCATCGGATTTTTTAGAACAATAGTGACCACCGTTTTCACCCATCATCCACCACATCTTCTTTCGTCTTCCTTATAAAACACCGAACAGGAACTCGATCGCCGACCAGCAAAGGTAACTTAAAAGTAGAAACTTTGACAAAGAGACGAATAAAAACACAGAGGAACGCGCTTACGATGATTTCTACCGAGTAAATGGAATAAAAGAATACAGCAACCAAAAAAGTGGAAACTTTTCAGAGAAGAAAAGAAAGAATTAAAGAATGACAGAGCAAGAACAGAGCTTTTTCTGTGATTATGTCGTGTCTGTTTCTCGGAGCTCTATAATGAAAAAAGAAATTGATAAGATTATTGTGAGGGATGGTGATGATGATTAGATTAAGGCTTTTTTAACCTCGACAAGTACGGTTAAGGGCAAATTAGTCAATGAAGAAAGTATCAACGTTTACGTTGTTGCTTTTGAGTATCATCATCTCTTCTCTCACACACTCCACGCGTTGTGGCTTGACTCAGTCCCCCACCCAGACAGCTTTTGTCGTGTCTTTTTCGTTGAAAAAAATGACACGTGGCTTCCACTGTAAATATTACAAAGTGGCCATTAAAACTTTACAAGCATCTATCTACAATTGTCAACAGCTCTTTAATTCTTTTATGATTAACAAAATTAAGGTAGAGAGATTCATTGTTGTGGAGTTTTGGGCATGTTTGCTTCATATGGGCCTGTATGATTTAAATCTGAAACTGGGCCAAATTTTTGTTCAAGCCCATACCAAAGGAGCCTTGGACTTCGGCTTGTGTTATTATTATAAGGAGATTGTCTAACGTATACGTAGAAATTTATGTCTATCTATTCATAGAGAGAGAGAGAGGCATACCAATTTTTAAGAATAGTCTGTACAAGGTAACAAACGAGTAAAAACCAAGATTTAGAATTTTTAGTAAATACTGGATCATTCATTGTTATTGTTCGTGAGTTTGAAGTCAGGTTGTGCCATTTCTTGCTCAATTTAGAACCTAAACATTGAAACCTAATTAGAACTTAGAAGTCTCCTCTTGGTTTAGAGAGGGTATGGTGAAAGCAGTTATTTGGTTCCAGCAACTACAGTCTTATTGGGTTGAGATGAGAGAGAGAGATGCATTTCAAAATTGGCAAAGGTGCTGTAAGTGTAAAGGCGGTATCTACATAAAAGATCAAGATTTGAATCAGTTTGGTGATCACCTTTCATATGCTTACCTCTAACCGGAGTCTCACAACTACAGAAGATATGCACTCAACCAATAACTCTGCTAGGTTGTAACATATACCATAATTGGTTCTTTACATCTTCACTTTCACTTATACCTAGAACTTTGTTTTTTCTTGGCTTCTCAATCAGTTTCCTCATCTTACGAACTTAAATGTTTAAGTCTTTGAAAGAATGACATCTAAGGAAGATTTTTCGTCACAAGTACAAATATTTCGTAGCAATAAAATCATTGTGACACTTATGTATACCACTAAATCTTCGTTACAAATTTGTCTTAATTATATAGCTAATAGTTTGTCATCTCTAATTTGATACAGACTGTCACTAAATTACAGTCACAAATTTGAAAATAAGTT